ATATATATGTATATATATATATATATATATGTGTGTGTGTGTGTGTGTGTGTGTGTGTGTGGGTGTGTGTGTACATATTTTCTATATTTTATAACACAAAGTACAGTAGAAATACATTTGGCACACTTTTGGATAGTTTACGTTTCCAAGTCATACTGTGCGTACCTTCATCTATATTGTTGTTATAAGAGTCAATAGAAAATATCACAACCTTTGAGCAATGCTAAGGTATAGCAGTATATTTAGAAACAATTACCTGAAACGTAGTAAAAATAATTTAATTATCAAACCTTTTCTGTCTTTGCATCGTCATACCGTTCATATTTTTTTTAGACTTTTTAGAATTAGGTGGTGTTGCCAGCTGCCATGACAGCCAAATAACTAAATTGTGACATTGTGCTGGAAACATATTGTTCATAGTGGCCACAGCATGACACTCATACAAAAAGAAATGTTGGCCGAGCTTATAAAGTTCATGGACACCAAAACCTATGACATGAAATGTCTGCAATTTTTCCTTTCTTTTTTTGCATTTCTGCAATCTGAAGTGCAATCAGTCACATTATTTTATCTGTGTGGACGTGTGTGTGTGTGTTATAATAACAATACAGTGTTTCTTAAAAGACCGGTGTGGTGCATCTATTTGCAGCTGGCATTTAAATACCTCCTCAGCCATTATCACAAAAATGGGAGTCATTGCTTGGTCAATGGAGTGATCCAAAGCTGTCTCGTACCACAAGTGTTGCTATCTTGTTGAATTGCTGGACAGCCATCAGAGCCTGCTTATGGTCTGTTTGGCCTTGGTGGAGCATTTGTTTATGTATGTACGGCTGGTGGGATCTTGTGGAGGACCACTCGAGATGTGAAATGAGCATTTCGGCGAGTCTTCATATCACTCAATGATCAAGAGTAACTCACAATTAATATTATCACGGTTTAGTTGGTATCACACTCCAATAGATCGCATGGGAATACAGTAATAGGAAGCCATAGGTTTGTGAAATACTGTGTGCATGCAGACAGTAGCCCCACCCAGAGAAGCCATGCTGCCTCTGGCGCTGTGGGTTGACCAGATGTGGGCCGCAAAAATGTAAGTTCTGGTATTTTGGGCCTGTGTAAATATCAGTTGGGAGGATGAAAGGGTTCTTACTGGACCAAATGTAGAAAATAATTCTTTGCAGTACACTACAGAGCTGAGATGCCACAACGCAAATGTGTCCAGTTTATAAGAAACTGTGATTTGAGTGCATGCTGTGTGTTTATCATCTCAAAAAAAGATGTGATGACATTAAAAAACAATACAAATGTTCAAAATGTGACACAAACATTACGCCTAATATGCAGCTGTGTATGAGCTTATTTTAAGTGCATCTGAATTCCGAAATTAATAGTATGGATGCAGCATTGCATATACTTTGTTATGCAGTCTTTTATGTGTAAACATTAACTTGAGTTGCTCATTAGATGGCACTGCAGGACAGGTTAGATTCTGCTGGAAAAATCAATGGACAACGGCTCAGAAATGTTAATATTGCTTTAGCTCTCTTCTAGCACAGCAGGCAGTTCTTGAAAGAGAAAAAAAAGTTGCAGTGATTGATCTCGAAGGAGAAAACACCTGTTCATAAAGGAAAGACATTTAACTGATCCTGTGGTTTGAAAAACACTACGAACAAAATTACTTCAGGCTCAGAAGGAATGCTCCAGAAAGCTGCAGCTCAATGTATGTACACAAGGCAGATATTTTTTTTCCTTTTAAATATTACTTTCAGTATACTAGAGGCAGAAGTTTGTAATGGACAACAGCAGTAAAGAATAGATAATGAGGGAAAAAAATCTGATTTGAACTGAAAACAAAAGGGTAAATGTGTTCAAAATAATGAAGACCTCAAGATGAAAACCAATAAAGGGTATCCAAAAATGTTTCAAAATTAAGTCGTAGATCTCTAGTTACCAAACAAACAAAGGAGACTGACCACTTAGTTGCCTAATTCATAATTCAAACACAAAATCCAAATGGGAGCAGCCCCGTGGTGCCTCAACGTGTATCATTCCTCGGGGGGTCCTTCAGGGCTTGAGCAGGTCCCCTCGTCTCTGATCAGATCGTCGATATGTTTATGTGATTTGGCACACGTAATTGCCTAGAGTCCAGCAATAGGCAAAAAAAAAAAAAAGTCTGCAATCCCCGAAAAATATTGTTCTTCTTCTTGTTCTTTTTTAAGCCGGTTCTTTTTTTTTCCAGTTCTACCAGCCTCCAGAAGAGGGCAGCTCGGGTGGTTTCAGGGTGATGACGAGCACATAAGTGATGGTGTGTTTGCTCATTTGTTTTTAAGGTATTTTTAGGGGGTGCTGATGTCTCTCAGAACCACCAAGTCCACTGTCCTTTGGAAACTCTTCAGCAGAGAGACGGCTGTCTCATGTTCCATGTGTACAAAATTATGTCCATTAGCCTGCAAGGCAAACACGCAGCACAGTAAGCAGCATGTGTGTGCGCATGCACGGTAAGATATGTGCATTACAGTTTTCCTTAAGTCAATTTGTGAGTTTGTGGAAGGATGGAGGGTCACTGCCATCATTAGCTCAGTAAACATCACTGTTGGGGAAAAGAGAGAAAAGTGGAGGATCTACACACATGCTGTTGAAAGAGAAGGGGTCAAGACAAAAAAAGGACAGTTAAGATGAATTCAACAATTGGGAAGGACGGTGTGGAGGAAATGAATTGAACGCAGAGATAGTGTTCATTTTTTCCCTTCCTGTCTGTAACAGACACACTATTGGAAAAAACTCTACCCCCAATATTTAATATTTGCATTTTTAAACTACAAATCCAATTTTAAAAAATGCCCCAAAATAGGAGGCTCACTGGAAGGCATGACATTTCACACTATTCTGTCATTTGTTTATTTAACAATCAATCATATAATTGGGGCATCCGCGGACGGACCAATCACACGCACGCAATCCTACGACAACTTTCGGCCAGCCCTGACATAGAAGTGCACGTTAAAGAGCTTCGCACGTCATGTGACTGAAATCCCACGCGCAATTGTTTACAAAGTGATGCTGGCGGGATAGTTGTAGTGGCAGGCAAAGAATTTACAATGGACTATCAAAAACTCTCTCTTTCTTGCTCGGGTCCCCATAGAGTCCCGAAGCTGAGCGCTGTCTCTTACACTTTCTCTGCCATGCCGTCCATGGAAGGCACCCGGCGATAGAGAGGCCATGTCGGACACTCCGTCACAAAGCTTCGGGGAAACATTTGTCCACATCCTGCAGTTACTAGTATATGGTTGCCATTATTATTATTTTATAATTGGTTGTTTTAACATGTTTTCAAAAGCTCAAATTTGTTGCATCTGTATCACGGAATGTGACAATAACGACTTTGTATTTTATTTTGTGGTTCTTTATGTGCTCTCAAAACAAAGTTGGGTCAAGCGTGTTAAAATAAACCGTGCAAGTCAATGTTCACACGGACCTGCATGCATTGTGATACAGCATATGGCAAATTAAATGGGATATGCTGCTTTCATTGCTTCGCTAACACTTGGATACATGGAGCAAAAATATAAGGTAATACGTCATCTATGGTTACTTGACGTCATTTCAGCAAAATGCAAGCATACTTTAAAGAGTTTGATACTGTCGCTACGCGTTAACCTACCGGAAGTTAGCACGCCTCCGATGGCCAGATTTTTTTAAAGAATGTGTTGTAGGCAACAAATTGAAAATTGTGTTTGCAAAAAAAAACAAAGACAATTAATTTGGACATTTAATCTCCTGTCTTTGTAAGGTATTCGGCTGAATAGGTTGAAAAGAATTTGCAAAATGCATTCAGTTTTTAATTTACACTTTACACAATGTCCCAACATTATTGAAATTCAGGTTTGTATAGTGTACTTTAATAAACCATTTATATATATATATCACACACACACACTCACTCACACACACACACACACACGCACACACACACACACACACACACACACACACACACACACACACACACACACACACTCACTCACACACACGTGCGCATCAATAATCTGCACAATTCAAATGAATGTGCCATTTTGTTAAATGCAATTTTGTGGTTATATACTGTAAATTTGCCGACTTTAAATCTTGAAAACTTTCACATTCTGCAGATCCTTTGAACAAGAATTACAGTATATCTGCATGACAAATTTTGACTTGACAGTATTTGCTCACTGTTCTTGGCAAAAGTGGACTAAATTGTGAGGGCATCTCCGGTACACAGCCCTCTTCAGATCTGCACAGATCTTCAAATTTGTTTTGGTCTGGGCTATGGTTAGGCAAATTTACAAAGTACTTCCTACTCCGGCAAAGACATGTGTTGTTTAAGCTGTCAGAAAATGGCTAAGCCGTATTGGAGATGGCACCAACAGTGTGACATGTTGGCATTCAATTTAAGAAGGGCTGTTATCAGGGTCGCCTCTACGTACGCATCGGCCCCGTGGCTCATGAACCCGCTGACTGCTGGGCTCTGGCGACGGGTTAACGTTAGCATGTCGGCTGCACTAAACCGAAACATGACCTGTCCCACGTTTTAAGGAAAGGGAAAGAGTTTGGAGGTTGGTTGGGGGTCTGGGTATGAGAGGGAAGAAGAACATGGTGGTTACTGGTCCGTCTGTTGATGAGTGAGAGGTGTTACCTGTAGGATCTTGTCTCCAGGCTGCAGGCAAGATGCAGCGGGCCCGTCATGCTGTACCCTAGTAACAAAGATACCCTATAAGTCAAAATGATACAAGGTTAGGACAACACAGGGACACGATGGTTTAGAATCTTTGCCTTTCTTATTGCATCTTAATAGCCACCCCCTCCCCACTAAAATAGTGTCTGCCAAAAATAAAAGGGCAGCTAATATGCATTCTCTTCATTCTCATTCTAGAGATGCATGCAAGTGCATCCGTTGTTAGAAAACTGAGATGTTATGAATCCCAGTGATTTGAGTAGTTAGTTCAATTTTCTTAACACTTGACTGCATAAAGCAACTCAGCACCAAAATGTTTTTTTTTTCTTTTCTGGTTCAACAGTTGAAGACTTAAGAGGAGATATAAAGATAATAAATAGATGCATCAAAATTACAGGAGAATGAGGAGAGAACAATAGGTGTGAAAGGGCTACTATATTGGGCAAAGAATAAGGTAGTGGGAGGGCAGAAGGTAGACAGTCCCATATTTTCTTGAAACAACTCAAGGCAGAGATTATAAAAACACCAACATCTTTTCACATCTTGGCGAAAGATGTTTTTGAACACAGGGTGGTACAATGTGGCTGTATCAACTCAATGTATTTCAACAGGTTGTGTGCCCCTGTTGAACAGACGATTGAGAGATGAGCCACATGGGGTGTGGAGGGTGGGGGGGATGCCAGGTGATAAAGAACTATACTTCATGTTCATGACAGTACCGGAGCACCAACAAACAAAGTAAACACGTACAGATACGGGGCACAAAGGTGCCCGTTTCGGAAGTATAAGTTCACTTATGTCACTGGCATTTAAACAGTGAGCCTCATAAATGTTTTTTTGGTGTGCTAAATTTGATATAGCAATGACTTAAAGGGTGGTAAACTGTGCTGACACAGAAGAAAAAGGTATTGTGTATTTAATTTTAGTTCACATTTTAGCCTAAGGAGAGGTAACCCAATTACTTTTCCTCCTAGTGTCATATGGAGCTCACTGTACATTACAAATTTACAAATGCGCTTGTTAACAGGTGCAGCTGTGAAGTCTTAGTCACACATGTTGGCACAGAAGGGAGAAGGCATGCCAAAAGCGTACTGACATGGCAATATATTTCCTATGTTAAATCAATCAACAATAACTGTTTTAAAATACAGAACAAGGTCGATGGCACCTCCTGAAAGGGGAGGGAGGTTCGGGATAACATCATCACAGGAAACAGCTTGGATTACCGTTTATCTGTTATTGACGGCGGCTAAGTCTTTCAGGGCGGCAAAGTTAAAATTTGAACATAAATGTGGCTAAAAAAAAACATCCATGTCTCAGAGTGAACTGGGAAAAATAGCACTTTGACAATTAGACTTTTGCCTTGAAAGGCATTAAAATAGTGTGCGCCAAATTCTCTCTGGACCAGCTGTCTCTTCAGCTTTTTCAAGATCATAATTAATAAACAGCAACAGAATCTGTCAAATTTGGAATCCACAGACTGAGCGCGACAATCTTCCCAAAATATTTGCCACAAGCAACAGTGCTTTGTCTGGCTGAGTGTAGCAGTCTGAGCCTGAAACAGACCAACAAGTGCAAACTCTAGGCAGAAAAAGTAGAAAAAATTGGAATGTGCTTAGATAGCACCGTAGTGCCTGTGCATACTTAATATAGATACAACAAAAACAAGCAGCTTTAAATGACAATAATGTGCAGTGCTTAAATTTATTAGACCACCAATCATGAAAAGTTTCCGTCACATCTGCCCAATGACAGTTTTTTTTTTCTAATCGCTTAAGCACATAGTTTGTAACTTTTCATGCGTAAAACTCTTCACACAAATAAGAAAACCAAAATGGCAAAACATAGTACTTCTCTTGCAGAAGCAAATAAGTATTGCCTAACTCTACAAAACGTTGGGAAAAATTAATTGGATCAGGCGATTGACGTAAGCCAACGCATTAGTCAACACACAAAGCACCAATCACAATAACGAACATGGCTTTTGCTTTCTGTGTGCACAAAGGTAGCCAAGGTTAGTTTGAGGTCATACTTTTGGCATCAGTCGGTCAACACACCGGGATCAAGTATTTTTATTCAAAGTGTTTACTGTATTGACCGTTAAACATCAAAACAAACAAAATCGTGCTTTTCCAAGTCGAAAACACACAGATGAACCCCAAAGTAAATTCACTGAGAGATAGAGAGGAGAAATAAAAAACTGTCTGCATCGTGTCATCCCTCTTGGTCATTCGTCTTCCTCCTTTGCCTTCATGTCTTCCTCTCCCTCTTGTTACTTCTCCACGTTTTCTTTCTCGGCCTCCTCTCATTCTCAATCTTCTCTTTCTGTACTCCCTCCATTGTCCTCCTCCTGAGCGACAGCTTACCTGTGGCTTATTGGTTACACTCAGGCTGATTGCAAAGCAAACGAATGATCGAAAACTGGTTTCTCCTGTGACCGTTGGCAGAATAGTGCAAGTAGAATGGCCATAAACATGTCTTGTTTTGCAAGAGTGTTGATCATTTGGAAATTGAGTGTAAAGCAGTGAGTTGTGTATTACAAAATTCTCAATTCAGTGCAAAGCAGTGTATGTGCTTTCAAAGTTCTGCAAACTACGAGTGGTTTTTGATAGGTATGAATAATAATAGAAATTGTCCAAGAAGAATCACTGGTTGAGTTTAAGACAGACATGGGCAAAATACGGCCCGCGGGCCGGATCCGGCCCGATGGTCTTTTTAATCCAGCCCGCCGAAGGTTGGTACAGTACAAAATTAAGGTTCGATGTAAATTATTGCATTCATTTCATTTGGACTTGTAATACAGGCATTTAAACGCCAGGTGGCGTAGTTACTTGAAGTCGCAGAGCACAGGGAGGGAGGGGGAGACGATACAGAAGCCCGCAGTAGCACTAACTCAAGTAAGTCCCGCTCGATACGACGAAATACATGTATCCGCACCGCTATTTTCTGTCATTGGATCCAAAACGGCGACATGCAAGCGACTCTTTGTTGCAGTGAGTTTTACTGGAATTGCGAACATCCTATATTAGAGCATGGCATCCAAACAAAGAGGAGCGGTAATGGCCGCGGAAGAGAAAATGAAGTGTATCTCATTAAATGAAGCGGGTTACGAAGTATGAAACATTCAGGAGACGCTTGGAGTCTGGAAGACTCAAATCTACGAGACTTTGAAAAACGAGGAAGCGATTTTTGCTCAGTCTGATTCGGGCTATTTCCATGCTCAGAGCGACTTGCTTGCGGCTCGACGGACAGTCCAGTAAATGAACGTTTCCTGAAATGGCTTGACTGTTATCGTGCTAAAAACTTTTCGCAAACTGGACCGCTAATAAGAGAGAAAGCGAGTTCCATAACGCTAACTATGGGCATTGAAGACTTCGAAGCGTCCTGCGGCTGGCTTCAAAAGTTCGAAGCACGACATCAGCTGAGCAACGCTGTCTTGTGTGGTGATCGAGGGGAGGTCGAGTTCGAGACAGTGAGTGAGTGGAAAGAAAGCCACCAGGTCTTTTACTCGTCTCATTTTGGAGCAAATAGTCCTACCTTTGTTATATTTTCTCATATACTGTACCTATACTGTATGCCGCAGTTTTTGGACAATATATTGTTGCACTTTGTTGCTTGTGTTGTCACCAATGTATGTTGTTCATACAGGACATATACCATAGTTATCTCACTGTTCTCATGAAAAAAAGTATGGTAATACTTGAATGCTTTTGTTCTGTTGATGTTTGGTATGGACTGTCAACATATACGTTTTTTTACATGTACCATATCTTGTGCTGACCCGGCCCACCTGTCAAATTTAGAAATCAATGTGGCCCCCGAGCTAAAAAGTTTGCCCACCCCTGGTTTAAGCATTAGAATAAAAACTGTAACACCATTGGTAACTACAATGGTCATTTTATGTATTGGTTAATACTCTGCACTAGTACATAGAAACTTTTTAACTTAAATATTTTTAATGCTAAAATAGAACAAATGTTGTTATGCATGAATTTCAAAGTCACTTGTTTAAAAATAATAAAATGTAAAACATTTCCTTATCAAGATATGAATGAATTAAAATTGTCTTTTTTTTTTGTTTTTAAAGAAAAGAAGGTTTGTATTTATTTTTGCAATTACGACTTGAAACTACTAAAGGTAAAAGACCTTTTTGGGCGGCACAGTGCTCAACAGGTTAGCACATCCGTCTCACAGTGCCGCGGCCTCTATGTGTGGAGTTTGCAAGTTCACCCCGTGCCTATGTGGGTTTTCTTTACCTATTCCGGTTTCCTTCGACATTCCAAAAACATGCATGGCAGGCTGACTGAATGCTCTAAATCAGGGGTGACCAAACCGCGGCTCGCAAGCCGCATGCGGCTCTTTGGCTGGTTCAATGCGGCTCCCGGGCTTTCACACGACAAGCGGCGAAAAAGCCTTGGCAGTGGCAATGCCATTCAAACAAAGGCGATAAATACACAAAACGTCCTACGTCAGCCTATCATCAATCCTGTTACTTGATTGACATAGAGGGCAACCAATAAGATGACTGCATCTCCGCTCATGCGCAAACAACAGCGCTAAGCGCTAAGCTAGTCAGCGAATTACCTCTGATTTTAAGGCAGGGTTGCCCAATAAGTCGATACGTCATTTGTATCTTTAGTTTTCGTTCATTTTCGGCCCGTTCCGACTGTTGCTCATCGTGGCGTGTGTGCATATGTGCGCGAGTGCACGGGTGGGCACCCGCATGCGTGCGCGTGCGCGTGCGTGCATGCGTCTGTGCGTGCTTGTGTGTGTGCTTGCACGGGCGCGATCAAGTCGATCATGGGAAGT